GCACCTCTCACAGCGCCCCCATCTCCCGGCTGCCCTCAGAGCTGCGCCAACGGAGGCTCCTTCGAAACAGCTGGAGAGGGACCACAGCCCGCTCCCCGCAGCCCGGTCCCATTGCTCCGGACCTCTCCAAAGGACCGGAGACGTTCGTCTTGCTCAGAAAAAAAAAAAAAAAAAGCGCAGGGAACCAGGTCCTTATTGGTTTAGGCAAAGGACACCTCCACCCCCGCCCCAACAACCCCACAAAACTCCAAACCTGCCATTGTTGTTTTGCCATTGGTTGTTTTGTTGCTGTTTTTATTTTGTTGTTGTTGTTATTGTGTTTGTTTTTCCCAGAGTGGTTTTACAGGGCATCTTTGGGTCTCCTGGGAAAGGTTCACGTAATTTAGATGCAGTCGTCCGATTTCTTAGCGTTGCAGACTAGAACTTGGAAGTCCCAAGTTTGTAGGTGGTTTGTGATGTGGTGGAGTTGGGAACAGGACCGCGGAGGATTGATTTCTCCCTCTGGAACTCAGCCCTGCTGGCTTTGGAAGAGCCCGGTTCGTGCCGTGCAGAGAAACCAGAGCCTGTGGTTTGAGAGTATAGATTCCTGGAGCCAGAAATCTGCTGGGATTTGAACTCGGGCTTAGTCACCTAATGGAGAACCTTTAGCAAAAGTTTTCACCTCGTTTCCCTTTTCAAGTTTCTTGTGAGGATTAGACACAGATAAAAAGGCACGGGGAGCTGTGCTTTTTAGGTAGAACGTTGGAGGACGTAGCCGCTGTTAATAACGAGGCCGTAAGCCCTTCACCTAATGACTTTTGGACTTGTCGAGCTTGAATGCCTGAGAGTGACCACCTGGCTGGAGCCAGGTTAGCAGCCCTGAAGAGCCTATCCCAGAGTTACTAAGTTAGACTCTGTCTAAGTTGTTTACACTTAAGAATGAAGAGGAGAGAGAGAGAATTATTGATTTTGAAAGCCAAGGGACTACCTTGCACCTCTTTTGTTTTAAGAGAACTTGAGTGCTCACTGTAGTTTGCGATGAAGCGTGGGTGATGGAATATTATTAGGTCGAAGCCAGCTGTTTACAGAGTGCTTCAAAGTTCGAGTGCCCTTGCAGAGCGACCACTGGTTCAGTTCCAGGTAATCTCACTTTATTTGGCAACAGGGTGTAGCATGACCCTCGCTAACTACTGCACTGGTGTGTCCTGGCTTAAGAGAGGACTGAAACTGTGGCTTCAGTAGTAGGTGGGACACCAAGTGCTCAGTCTCAGAAAAATGAGGTGCTTTTATTTAGTTTGAGCTATGCTAGCTTCAAGCTCACTCTGTTTCCTAGGCTGTTCTTAAGCACTGGGTTATCCTGCTTTGACTTTCTAAATGTTGGTATTTCAGGCCGGTGGGTAAATAAGGAGGCTAGCACAATTTCATTATCCGGTCCCAAAATTAATGTGACAAACTTCAGAAATGTGGCAGCTTGAATTTTGAAGCCATTTGAGATTTTGAAGATTTCTGACATCCAGCCTAGCTGTTTATGGAAAGACTGGATGTTTACTTAGTTGAAGCGTGTTGCAAAGTAGCAGTGGTAAGCCCCTGTTAGAGAGCTGTGGAAGAACTGGGTTTGTGTCTGTGTGCGTTTCACATGTGTGGAAATCCAGGTTAACTTGGGAGTGTCAGTTCTCCACCATGCAGGTTTGGGCATTAAACTCATGTAACCAGAATGGTGGCAAGTGTCTTTATCCCCCGAGCCCTAGATACATTCTCTCTCTCTCTCTCTCTCTCTCTCTCTCTCTCTCTCTCTCTCTAATTCTGTGACTTTATGAGTATCTTTGAAAATTCCAGTAAACTATCCAAGTTTATCATTGGAGTGTACTCCAGATTCGTAATATTCATAATGTAAGGACTTAACTGCTGTGCATGGGTTCAGAATCCTGTGTCCTGAGAGCATCCTTGGAGTTTAGTGAGAACCATTTGAGAGATTTACTGGTGAACAAGCCTAAAGTGAGGGAATTAAATGATGGCTTAGGTCAGTGCCTCTAGCAATGCTTCCTTCCATCTTAGTGTTCTTGTCTTTTTCATTGGTCACCACTGCCTCTGCTGAAGAGTTTTATTGTTAGTGTTAGAACAAGGCTAATTTCCTCACCATAAATTTTCAGGACATGGAAGGGACTAGTTTGAATTACTGCTACATTTTAATATGTAGCTATTACAGATGTGCTAGCTATCTGATTTTCAGAGTTGGTCAAGAGAAATTTTATTTCCTTTGAAGGAAAATTAGTCTTTCAATTCTGGATAAATTTGTTCTATCTAGTTTTTTTTTTGTGGGGGGGTTCGAAGACAGGGTTTCTCTGTGGCTTTAGAGGCTGCCCTGGAACCAGCTCTTGTAGACCGGGCTGATCTCCAACTCACAGAGATCTGTCTGCCTCTGCCTCCCAAGTGCTGGCTGGGACTAAAGGGGTGCACCACCACTGCCTGGCTCTATCTAGTTTTTTTTTTTTTTTTCTTTTTTTTCCTTTGTGTTATTTGCTTTTTTGAGGTAGGATCCTAAGACCAGGCCACAATGTAGTTCAGGCTAGCTTCAAACTTGTGATCCTCCTGCCTCAGTTCCCTAAGTGCTGTGATGACAAGCCTGCACCATCACACGCAGCTTATTAATTTTTAATATGGAAAAAATTGTAACTTATAAAACCACTTAGTGTGTATTAGGTATTTCTTTCCATGAATTAAATTTTGGCATTTGTCTGGTAGCAAATGATCGTCAAAACTTCCGTGAGACAATTTCTAGTGCTGCCAACTTTAGGTAGTGATGTCAGATCTTAGTACACATGACTTCTTCATGATTTGCTTGCCTGGGCTGCTGCAGGCCATGCTCACGTGACCACACAACCACGCTTGCTTTGTTGTTTTGCTTTTTATGTGCTCATCCTTTAGTCACTCCTGTTTCTCTCTGTTGAGGCTTAAGCGTGCTGGGAGTGTTTGTTGAAAGACTGAGCTTCCTTCTGGAGTGTTTAGTTCTAATTTTGCCTGAAGTGGTTAGTGCTTTCAGGTCTCTCATACAAGGGAAAGATTCATATCATGGGCTAAGGAATGGCTGCCTTTAATGTAGCTGAAGTCTTTGGAACTTCAATGGTAGGGCTTCATTATTTCTCTTATCTTGCCTTAATAGCTAGATGAGCTATTCTAGCAGTTTTATAGATTATGACATTGAAATGCAGAATAAATTGAGATAATGGGGTTTGAAAGCCAGAATCTAAACTAAATCATTTAGCTTTGTGTTAGGGCATTATTTACCCATCTGCTTTACCTGTGATCTGCATGAGAAATCCTTACAGATTGATAAGTCTGTTTTGTGTGTAGTACTGCCAAGCTGCTATATCATGGAATATATCTTGGGTGCCTCACATTTCATGCAAAATAAAGCCAAACTAACTTTTTGCTATATACGAAGTGCTGTAATACAGTTGGATGATACACACGCACCCACTCGCACCACATATGTGTCTAGTGCACTTGGGCCAGAAGAGTTCATTGGATCCCTGGGAAGTGGAGTTTCAGACTTTATTGAGCCACCATGTGGGCTCTGGAATCAACTTAGGTCTTCTGGAAGAGTAACCAGTGCTCTTACTGCTTAGCCATTTCTCTAACCTCTAGATTTTTTCTTAATACTATCAGAATTCACCAAATTGATTTTATAGCCTGTTTTTGGGCTACATCCTGCAATTTGAAAGGTCCTATACTAGATTCTCACTGTCTACACAGCAGGTGATAACAGTTTTGGAAAAATTAAGAACAAGCCCAACTAGAAACCAATGGAAGGAAAAAGCTTCTCAACAAAGTAGTACAAAGTAGTACAAGTTGGTCTTCAGAGTTGAAATGAGGTCCTTAGTTCACTGGAGCAGGTGCTCAGTTTAGCTGATCTGTGGATTAGACAGATGGTTGACTCTTGATACTTATTTGTGGGAGACTCTGGTGAACTGGGGCAGGCATAAGGATAGTGTTTCCCCTTTGCTCCCAGTTGAAGACCATACCAGTCAGGAATATAGTATTCCCTGCCTTCTTTCTAATATTTGGGTCAGAAATTAATAAATTGAAAGATATAGGAGATACTGGCAAGATTTGTCTGTGTCCTGAAACTTGCTATGTAGACCAGGCTGGCCTCTAGGTGACAGAGCTCTGCCTGTCTCTGCCTTCCAAATGGTGGCACTAACAGGCAAGCATCACTGTTCTAAGAAAGGTGACTTTGAACTTGCATTTTTAAAGCAGCCTGGAGAAGTAAAAAGTCCTTGAGTAAATTCATTCACTTAGTAACCTAATTGTAGTTGCAAGAATTTTTGTTGGTTTTAGATGATAGAAGCTCACGTCTATTAGCTTAAGCCAAAAGAGGTATTGCCAAAGAAAGGGCAGGAAGAGCACTGTACAGTGTCTGAGAGCCTGTGGAGTCTGGAACTCAGGAGTAGGATTCCTTTGATAGGCTTTGGTCTGGTTCACTTTCTTCAGGCCTGTGTTTCTGCCTGGCCACTCTCAGAATGTCCTGTAGTTAAAACCACTTAAAGATTTATTGCTGTACTTGCCTTCTGACTCCAGGTTTGAAAATCCAGGGTTTGGGATTCTTTTTAAGT